TCCACGATTGGTCAGATTTTCGATACGCGCGATCCGCGATACGCGCGATACGCTCCATGGGACTGCACCCTTAGAGGAAGACGACGTTAGAAAAAGAAAAGGTTAGGATGATAAATGTCATAAATATTTGTCGTAAAATGGCGACTTCCGGTTAATTGGCTTCACTCTCCTTATGCCGGAATCAGACTACGCATTGAAGATTGAGGTTGAAGATTGAAGATTGAAATTTGACCAATAAGGACAAAGAAATTTTAGCTCCTTTCGTTTCGATTGATCAAATTTGAATTTGTCAATCTTCAATCTCAATCTTCAATGCGTAGTCTGATTCCGGCCTTATACCCACTCTATTGAGGATCTCTACATCACGACCTCTGCTGGCTCTGCATTGCGACTGCTTACAGCGCCACCTTAACGGCGACCTGATTGGGACCATACATATTTATCCCCACCACGTGACTTGAGCACATTATATACCTGGGTCTCCTAGAAAATCCAAGCTTCATACGTTGCTGTTACAAGCGCTGAAGCGCATTGCGTGTCTGCGTGAGAAGAGTTGATGTCCACCTCGCAGTCGTTCGTTTCATAGGTTATGTCGCGTTGAAATTCACGATCGCGTTAAAATCTGTAAAATCACGTGCGACTCGTTCTCAATTTATGGCTCTGCGAGCGAGAAATTAAACAGATCGTAGAATCGCACGATAATTTGTCTTCCGTTAAAAAGAATCGGGTGCATACCCTCGAGAATCTCACTTATTGCGCTGCTTTTCGCTAACATTGAAATTCCGGAGATCATCGCCTTTGTTTTCTTCGCGGTGGACGTGAGAGAAGAGAAGAGAAAGAAAGAGAGGGAGACAGAGACAGAGAGAGAAAAAAAGCCGCGTCCAAATCGACGCGTGGAGACAGAATACAAAAACGTGGAGGAAAAAACTACGAGATGTCGGCGTCTCCCATTGCCAGACAGGCCACCCAGAGCCAGAGCATACCATCTAAGAGGATCGTCATTCACGATCCCAATCAGCTACCGGTCGACTACTCATCCACCCCCGGAGGCACGCTCTACTCCACGACACCAGGAGGTCAGTCCACTTTTTTCCGACTCTTTCTCTCATCTCCACGTTTTTCTTAACCCGCCCGCACCTCCGAGATTTCTAGAATTCTTCCGAATTTCATTCGTGCGTTTTCGTCGTACGACACAAATGTGTACAGGACAGAGAAGTTTCTCGAATCTCTCTGTCTTGTAGCCACAAATGAAATAGCACCCTAAGGCCATCACACGTGCAAAAATTTTAGTCGTAGTCGTAAGGTCGCAAGCAAATCAACCAATCACGATCAAAATTACGATCTCGCGTTTTAAAACGCTCGACTGTGATTGGCCGATTTGCTTACGGCCTTACGATTACAACTAAAATTTTTGCACGTGTGATGGCCTTTATAGAAAATACGCATTTAGACCGGTATTCGTAGTCTATTCTTGAAACCGTCTTAGGTAAAATCTTAAGATGTTATAGACTAAGAAGGATGTATTAGCATCTTAAGAGATTACTTAAGATGGTCTTAAAATAAGAACGGATTATATGAATATCTCATTTATAATTGTTGAGGTGCAACCACAATAAAAGGAATAAGGAATAAAGATTTCAACCTATCAGATATCGGATACACCGGAATACCCGATTTCTGATAGTTCGAAATCTTTATTCCTAATTCCTTATTCCTTCTATTGTGGCTGCATCTTTAAGGACGCACGTTTAGCTGATGCTCAGTAAATAATGACGATTGGCGGATAAATATCAAACAAAATAAAAAAAAATTCTTTTGTAGAACTACCTATGTTCGTCTCCAGAATTTACTAGAATAAAAGAAAGCCCGAATTGTCGCGAGATTCTTGCGATTTCCTTGGATTGTGCGCGAAGTCATTTAAGATCTCGCCAAATTATATGCGCACGTGCAAGGCGCCGTCAAGGCCATTGATATTTACGCACAACGCGATCGTATCTTTCTCTTTCTCCCCGCGCGCATGTACCTACATATGTATATACGCGTACGCGTGAGTGCGTCTCGATAACAAACTGTTACGTAATTCCCGTTTCGGCACGGGTCTGTCTGCTTGGTCGCCCGTCCGCGTGGAAAATATCCGACGCTTTTGTGTCGCACGCGAAATTGTATCCTATTGAAGTAAAACCGGTCAATTATCAGTTCGCGATAATGCGCGACCTTGACATTAATTCATGGCCGACATGCAGAGCGATGGCCGGCAGATCATTTAATCAAGAATCTCTGGATGCTTCGGTGAGACAATTTGACAAAAATGTTATATCTTTGTTACTCACTGAATGTTAAGAAAAATAGAATGAAGCTTGTGTCGATTTGTATTACTAAATGGAAAGCATCCTCTAATGACCTTTGAATATCTTTTGTTAAATTATCTATTAGTTAAATAATTAATATATCATGTTAATATATATTATATGATTTTATTATATTTATTATATAATGTATTGCATTAATGTGTATGTTATAATTTATGTATATATCATAATATATTGTACACTGATATATTAATTTAAAGACTTTATGAATGAATAGTTTATTACTTGAGCTCATTTCCAAGACAGGACTTGGTTTAAAAATGTCTTCTACACATTTATCCACACCTTATAAATTAAAGGCTAACTAGAACTTTTGATTAGCATATCTACATTGGTTTATGCACCTACTTTCCAGATTATATGTATAGCTTGTCTATCTACCTCAACTTTTACTACTTCTATCATATCAACATTATTTACAATGTTTAATATTATTTACAATTATTATCACATTGTTACTTTATTACACAATTCATATACATGATGTAAATATTTTATAATTATATTGGTAAGTTCTTATAAATTATAATTACATATATTATGAAAAGAGATAACAGCATAAATTATGTAAATTCATAGAATTTAACGTTTTCTTTTTTTTTAAATGTTTTTTTCAAATACCACGTTAATTTTGTTAGCTATCATTCAAATAATCTGGACTTTTATTTCCTGGAAAGAAAAGAGAAAAAAGAATAGGTTAAATTTGAACAAAACTATAAAAAAATAGAAAGATTTTTTTTTCTCTCAAGGAGAAAGTGATTTATTAAAGTAATAGAGATAAAACGAACGTGATTCAAATGACGAAGCCACAGATCCCATGCTACTTCTTGAAGGATTAAATTTATTAAGGCTGAAGTTTAAATCGCGCGCCAGACTCGATATTGAATGTTGGTTGTACTTATTGCGTTTTTAGCAAACGATAAAAGGATAACTTATCGCGTTGATGTTTACGCTTCTTTATATGCGCGTCACTTTGATCGCAAGCAAAGAGAAGGCGAGCCACGAAGTACGTCCGTTATAAAAAAAAATGCGGATTGAAATTATACTGGGTGTCCTGTCATTTCCTTCGGTTTGTGAATTCTTTCGCCAATTTCGAACTGGTTTTTTCCACATGCACGTTAGCTTCCAGAGCGATGAGTAATACCTTTTAGTTATTAATTATATTGACAACTGCAGTTCACTTATCAGATAATGTTTCAAGTGCTCTTTAACAAAACCTTGCGCTTGAAGTTTAAAACATTTAATAGCAAAAATTTTTTAAATTGTACAAAAGATTGTACCATTATTAAATTTTTAATACGGTCGAATGAGTTTGAACGATTTATTATTTGATTTGAAAAATTGTCAAACAAGTCGAATAAGACTTTTAAAAATGATATATATTATTTGTTGGATATCTCTACTGATAATTCTGCTCTATTTATCTTACTCTTAAGAAAGAGTTCGATTGTTGATATAACAATCAATATAACAATATTATTCTTTTTCTTAAGTCTATATTACGAAAATCGTAATCTAGACTCAGATGTTTATATGTTAATATTTTTATTTGTAATGATAAATCGTTCTCTCCGAGATCTGCTCGATTTATACGTATCTAATTAGAGCAATCGACACATCGTGAATAAAACAATATTTTGTAGATTATAAAATGGTATAAATACTATAAATGTACAACATGAAAACATGGATAAAGTAATTACTTTTCTGATTCCATTTTTTAGATTTCTCAAAAAAATTTCAGTTTCCGATTTGAATTAAAAATATTCAAACACGAAAATGATATGAATAAAAAAATCTAACCGAAATATAGTAGACAATTTGCGAGCGGTGTGTGACGAGCAGTTAGCTGCTCCTCTTCTTTTTTTTTTCATTTAACATGACGCAAGCGAAACTCACTAGCGAGATTGTCGGTGAATTCGCAAACCAGGTGAGTGAAACCAGGTCGCCTGCACTCAGGACGCTGTTGTTCCTCGCCCCGCAATGTTTCCTGGGGCGTTAAACAGCCAAGGCCGAATTAATGTGTGCGCGCGCGATACATACCAACGTCGCCTGATGCGTAATCGGTGACGCGTGTAATGTTTATCGCTCGCGCCACGCCAGCGCGGCGCGCAGAAAGTCACGGCGATCTGAAAAACAAGGGTACACAGCGTGAAAACGACTGGACCTTCAAGATAACTTTAGCCGCGACAGTGAATCTCGCGTAAAATCTCAATTCGTAAACAATGACGGTCAACAGACAGCCGTTTCGCAGATGGACACGTGTCCTTATCGAACCGCTGCGAAATTGTGATGAATCCCTTCTTTATTATTACTATTATTATTCAGGTTGGTGAACGATTTGGCTGCATAAGAGAGAAAGGCGTTACTCGATGTCTCAATCGAAGAATTGTCAATTGATTGTTGATTCACGTGGTTTCTGATCTAATCGAGTGATATTCTTAAGTTAATAGATACAATTTTTTTCTCTATGGATATTTACATTGTTTGTTATTGAAAGAGAATTTTGTCAAATAAATTTTGATCAAGCTGCTTTAAGATAGTATAAATTTATTTTAGCCTTGTGCTAAAAAAAACGAAATAGTTACGTAAAAAAAAAAATGAGACTCGTGTGTTACACGAATTAAAATCAACGTGACTTACGCAAAGAAATTCTAACGTCTCTCGGTTGACTTTATATCGCACTATCTTTGCTTTCTGCGGTTATGTTTGTTTTGGCATCCTCGTCGACCCTTGCACTCTTTTCAAGTTAGGTAGGTGTCCGTACAGAAATACCCTTGTATAAATAGGCAGCGTGCATCGCTTTTCGTATAACTGTCGGGCCATTGTGTCATTTCTGCGTGTAATAGTCGTCCCACCATTATACAAATTTTTTTTTGAAAATCTGCCTACATTCCTTCTATTGTAGTCAAATCTTGTTTGCATTCTTTTGACTAAAAAAATTTATTACCTGAAGCATAAAGATTTATCGAAATCTCTTCTGTCGAATTCTACTCGGCAACCGTAAAATTACAATTATGTCAAACTTACGATAAAACCAACTTTAACTTTGTCGCAACTTTAACTTTGACGCAGTTTGTATTTTTATATACAAGTTACATTTGAAGCCGTAATTTTTGTGATTAAAAATTATCTGATAAGACTACAATATTAATGACTGTTGGACAAAGTTAAAGTTGGTTTTATCGTAAGTTTGACATAATTGTAATTTTACGGTTGCCGAGTAGAATTCGACAGAAGAGATTTCGATAAATCTTTATGCTTCAGGTAATAAATTTTTTTAGTCAAAAGAATGCAAACAAGATTTGACTACAATAGAAGGAATGTAGGCAGATTTTCAAAAAAAAATTTGAAAATACTTTTATATATATATGTATAGATATGTCTAACTATTCTCTCAATCAATTTAATATTCAAGAATATTTTCTAATGAATATTTAACACATACCTAAAAGAAGTTGAAGAACTTCATTATAATCACAAATTTTATAGCTAATTAAATCTTCGAATCTTGCGCAGGTACTCGCATCGTGTACGACCGCGCGTTTTTGATGAATTTGCGAAACTCTCCGATATCACGAACGCCACCACGCAACCCGCTGACCATACCGTCTGAATTGCTGAGGGGGAATACTCCGGTCATCACGAAAGATCCCGCAAAAAATACTAATAAAGGTCAGTCTACTTTTCTAAATCGATTTTTCTCTGCGATTTCTGCTTTTCTTACTAAAAAATATAGGATGGATGAATAATGCATTACATAAGAAAATATTTTACATTAATGATGATACATAATAATAATAATTATATTATAGAACTTTCTTCCTCACTTTTGTTTGACGTTACAGACTCTCTGACGATCGAAGAATCCGCGGAGCAATTTGAAATGGATATGTGAGGCAAATGCAACGTGCTGTTGTTTATGGCGATTAAAATGTGTTCGTAGCCATGCTCAAGAATATTGTTAATCAGTCTTACAGACAATCGCACAGAGTTGAGAGTACATGGCTAATACGCTTTAATCCTGTGCCTTTTACCAGTGGTCTTATTAAAAATCGTGAATCTTATAAAAAGATTTTTTCCTTGACGAAAGGCCATATCTTATTCACATATATTGTATACAAATCATTTTATTCTCGACGCTTGTCCTTGACCAATGTTATACGTATATTTGCATATAAAGAACGGCCGTGAATGTAAAGATGCTAATGTCTATAAACATTAGTGATCTGTTGTCTTCCTTTTAAAAATGGCCAATGCGATGCTTTGTAACGTGTTTTGTAAGGAACTTGTATCTGTGAATAAATGATACATACATTTTATACATATACATTTTACTTTGTTATTATTGTATACATCATACAAAAATAATTAACAAAAATAATTATAGACTTCCATTAAGTATATTAAGATTTCTTTAATATATGCCCGTTGAGCATCAAAAATTTAAATGTGATATTATTCTAATAATTTAGCCTCTCTAAATTTTCAAGTCCGATAAAATTTTCAACGCACAGTTCTAAATGACTACAAATATTGTGTGCGTGTGCGTGCGTGCGTGCGTGCGTGTGTGTGTGTGTATACAGGGTGTTAGTTAAAAGTATGTTGCCATACTCAACAGCGCGATTTTTTGGTTTATTTCAAGTAAAAAAAGTCCATATAAACAAAACGGCTTAGTTTCCGAAATAAAAAAATTTAAACATGTAGTAATAATCTGTTTATATGAAAGAAACAGCTTGAACTAGTTAAAAACAGAAAAATAAAAATAGGCTTCAGTTAGTCTGATGAAATAAAACAATTAGTTTGTTGAAAATGTCCTCCTTGCACCATCGAGCTTTCTTCTCAAAGATTAACGTACACGCTCAAAGATCAGAACTGAAGTCTATTTTTGCTTTTGTGACTTTGACTTTGTAACTTTGTTTACGGTTGTGCGAATGGTAACTCACATGAAGCAAGACATATTTATGCAGGAAGATATCTCCAATGCAATTTACCATTTCGTCAAACATTTGCGAACATTCACCTGTATTTCGGAAACTAAGCCGTTCAGGATACATGTTTATGGACTTTTTTACTTGAAATAAACCAAAGAATCGTTCTGTTGAGTACGGCAACATACTTAACTAACACCCTGTATATATATACATATATATATAAAATTCACATTGAATTATTTAAACGTCAAAGATCCAGCTTCGACTATTACGAACCTTTAATTTCTATTTCTCATTGGTTATGTTCTCACATGTACAGTTCAATAAGATTCTTATTGTTTAGAAATAATTAAATACTATTTGAAAATTGTATTGAGCAATAAGTATTGTTGCAACTTTATTTTTGAGCAAAAATATCTTGTGACAATTCGAGAGCAATTAAGTTACACACACATATATATATATATATATAAAACATTACATAATAAAAAGTTTTATATAATAAAACGAAATTTTATGTTTTCTATTTTAAAAGAATTATTTAAATTATTTAAAATTAGAGAGAGAAGAATCAAATAAAATGTTAAGCTCGCGTTTGAATATAATATCAAACTGTCGTAATACTTTGAAAATCTTCGATAAGAGTTTATCTAAAAAAAGTAATTTTATAGTCACAATACCTTTCTACTACTATTTTTAAAAACCATTACGAAAACAAGTCAAAATAAAGAAATAAAAAGAAATATTATTTGTGAATGAAACAATATGATTAAACATAACTTTTTAAGTACTGTGCAACAGTACATCATGCTCTTGTAGCAAATTAATCGCACTAAAGATCGTTATACACACATAAAGTTAATTCTGTAAATACTTAATATAAGATTCTTTCGGAAAATATTGGATATTTCAAACACAGTGCTTACGTTATATTGCTTTTGCACTATAGATAAATATTAAGTTCATTTATAACAGTCTTTACATTATACACATAAACGTAGAATAGGGTATAAACATATTGATGCAATGCATTATCAAATGTATAAAAAAAGATTTATAAAATTTATCACAATTTAGGACATACGTTGCCTAATTTCTTTCAATACTTGTATGCAGAATTTGTTATTTCTGATATTTTTTCCAAGAGTATTATTGCAATGTTAACTTTGTTTCCTTTCGCATCGAAATCGTCATAATAAACTAATTCACACAAATCTCTGGTTTCTAGGTTGCTTTGCAAAATTTCTTGCAGTTTAGTGTAAAATCTCTCGATAATTTTACGTTTATATCGTTTATATACAGCAGATTCAGAATGATTGTGTTTCTGTACTTCGTAGTATGTTAACAAAGGTGTCGCACCTTCCACCACTATATATACCGGATTATTACCCGATTTTCTTCCTCCAGGATATATCTTGTAGGCATTGTTGCGATAGGTTCTGCCTATATTCCCAGCCCGGTTGCGTTTCTCCTCCTCCAGCTCGTGTATATTTTCCATCCACTGACAGGACGCTTCTTTTAAGTCTGGTGGGATGTACCCGGAAGATGGTATTAAAAGAAATAGCTTGTGTACCGGAAATGTTACATTATGATAATCCTCGAAGTTTTCGATTTTCTCGATTATGCCCTTCCTGCCGGTTTCAGTGGATGGTAGAGTAAGCTGCAGGTAGCCATAGTAGAAATTATATGCCATACCCGTGCCATAATCCAGACCCTTCATAGCACTGAGATCAGACAGCGATCCTGTCTCCCATTCAGCCAGGTTACTCATCCTGATTAGGCAGAAGGAAAATATCATCAGTGGCACGCACACGTAGGGTCCGAAATTCCAGACGTAGCTCAATGGGCACCCGCGAATGGTGATGCTCAAGCCAAGGAACAGCAATGAGGCACCGATGATGATCGTCGCCGACGAGGTATTGAGAGAGAAGTGATACTTCGCCACTGACCAGAAGCTCTCCTCGGAATGCTGGCCCACATCAGTGGTGAACGAGACCAGCATCTGACACAGGCGTAGGATCACGTCGCAGAACAGGAAGATCACGAGGAAGACGGACGCGACGAGGGTGGTCGCGATCACCGACACAATCGTCCTATCCTTTGTCGCCTTGAACACGGCGAAGGCGAAGAAAACGAGGAGGACGGCACTGTACGCCAAGTAGGTCTTCAGCTTACGATCGGCCGTCGAATACTTCTCGCTTTCCATCTTCGCCGAAATCTAATCACTGAATCAAGTTTGATTCTTCTCAATCCGGCTTGCAGGGAAAAACTATTGTGCTGCAATAGACTTCAGAGAAACGTGGCACTGCCGCTTCAAGTAGCTGGCAAGCAACCGCCAAGTGTGACACACCCTTTCTTCTGCGAATTCTACATATCGAAATAGAACGGGAAACGTTTAAAGGCTTATCCAGACTTGCATAATCATGTATAACGTGCCGTGAAGAAACCGACCAATCTTGCGTGTTCAACGTCACGTTTGCTGAACTTCGTGTCCATTCATCATTTTATACCATAATGCTAATTAGTCGACTTCTTCTTTTTCTACACTGAGAAAAAAAAATCTTAATTTCAAAGAAATTTTCATTGATCCAAAGTAATAATTTGTTTGAATACGAGCAAAGAAATATTTCTTTGAAATTAAGATATTTTTCCTCAGTGTATACATATGTATCAGCTTAACGATCACTCGGCTAAACAGGTGACTTTTTTTATCTTATTTACGTAATTGGTGAACGTGAGGAATGAGTAATTAGCGTTATATTATCGTGTGTCGTTATAAATATTCACACAGTTTACGACTTAGTAAACACTACATTCCTTAACTGGAAGGCAATATTTGTTTACATCGTATATCGATGGATTTTAAATTGTTATTACCATGATGTAAGAATCCCACATGGATATATCTTACCATCATGATTATACTTTCATTCTCAGTCTCAGCATGCATCTGCGATCAATGTTGAGATAAACCATACATGGGCAGTTTGATAGTCAGTGACTTTTTAAGAGACTGTATTAGGGTTGGTTTATAATAGGCCGTAATCTGTTAACTTTTTCCGTAATCTATAAGAATTGACCAATCATAGTCGATTATTCTCCTCTCATTCGACTGTGATTGGTCAACTTGCATAATCATACATAATGTGCTGTGAAGAATAAACCAACCCTTAAAAATAAATCGAATTTTGGTTTAAAAAATTTAATAAAGAATCGTTGACTTATCGAACTGCCCGTATATTTCGTGAATATTGATTTAAAACGATTGAATATAGATTAGATACGCTTTGATTCGATCAAAGATATCTGATTCTCACTTTACATTGAATTCTACCAGAGGTTTCTATATACACTATGAATTTCCAAGAGACACCGATGACACAATAGGTTTATTCTTTTTAGCCCAACTCTTCTTGCAATTTTTTCTCTCTTCTCTGTCTCTCCAACGTGAAATGAAAAAGAGGAAAGATGAATTGTGCAAGAAGTCCAGCAAAAAAACAGACCTGGTGCAACACAGTGAATTATTACATCTTTATTACCATCCTTATTTACCAAAACAATTGTTAAACAAAGACGAAATAATCACTGTGTTACACTACATGACTATATTACTTTGTCTCTTGCTAGAAAAAACACCATATTATATCCTTTTATATTTTAACTGTTTAACCGTATTCCTGACACATTTAATAATATTTATATCAAAAATCAAATATATCGAATGTCAGTTCTTAACGTTGTTTCGTATACCTACAATTTCCATTATAGGAACGTTAACTTTACGGTCTCTCGAGCGACTGCAAATTACTACAATGGACTCTAACAGCGACTGATAACTACGCCGCTACAAAAGCTGCATTCTGCAAGTTATTCTTCTTATTAATTAGTGGCTCCCGCCTCCAGACATATAAAAGGAGGACGATACGGCAAATACGCATTCTGCAAGTGACTGACAGGTGCTGATAGGACGGACATAACGCGTCCATGCGACTCGAGGTTGAACTAATGAACTCTCGACGAGTGTTTTTGGCGGGAAGGCGTTCGCACATAACCCTTCATTACCGATGACGGGAAAAGCGTGGTCGAGACAAAGGCGGGGGAAAGCGCGGTCCCGTTTTTTCCCCGGTCACGTCGGTTGGCCTCGCGTCGTACCTGGTCGCACCTGCCGGCGGACTCCTCGCGATTTCGTAATCGCGAGACGACGTGCGATCGTCCTGTAACGGTTCTCGAGTTCGCGCAGCTGCGTTTCTCCGAGAGCGCACGAGAGAGGAGAGGAGCTGCCAAGCTGGAGGAAGCCGCTCGGTAATGCGCGCCAAAGAAAGAAAGAGAGCAGGCGGGAGATCGCGTTGGACGGGTGGGTGGGCCGGGAGGGGAGGAAATGGAGGGGGAGAGCGGAGCAGCGCGTGTTGCCAGGTCGCGCGCGCGGAGCGCTGTTAACGCGAGTGAAACGAGCCGATGGACCGACCGCAGCACGGTCGGGAGACATCTACGATCGATAAAGGCTCGTGGAGAAAGCCCGAAATCGCGTCGCGCGACGGAAAATCGCGAGAGGAAGAGAGATAAATAAAAAGAGAGAAAGAAAGAGACAGAGATCGGCCGGCAAGCGAGCGATCGGCACGCTTTTGTACGAGGTGATAAAACGTCTTGCGATTTTTCGTGACGCAGACAAGACAGCCGCGACAACGACGACGGCGACGGCGACGGCGGTAGTAGTGGTGGTGGTGGTGGTGGTGGTGGTGCGCGGCGCCGCGCGATTAATACAATCGGCAGGTGATTTCTCGTCGCTGATTAAAGCGCCATGTCCCGCGATGGACCAATCAGCTGCTTGGTAAACCGCCGTGAGACCTCGAGTCTGTCCACAGACGAATGACAACAAAAGAGACTGATAGAAGTCGCGCGCGCGAGAGAGCGAACCCGAGTTTTTTCGCACGCGAGTGTGTTACCCCCGCGCGCAGCCGAGGAGGCCCAGTATATCCGCCGTCGCGGCCGCTTTTTTTCCGTTTACCCCCCGTAGCGCGCCGCGAGTAACGTCGCTTAAGCCTGGTGGTGGTGAAAGGTGCCGTGAGGAATATGAAGAGGAGAAATGTCGAGTGCGGTAAGCTTCGGAGGCCCTTGAAACGCAACAAGCTCACCGAGGGGATCTACGGAAGGTAAATTCTCACGCCGCCATATGCGCATCGCGTACGGTACGTACGTACGTACACCTACGTCGGGGAATGGCCGTTTTCCTTCGCAATCAAAAAACGTAACCAAAACCCTCCCCCTCTCTCCCGATCACCCCCCTCTCTCCCCCGCGCCGTCCCACCTCGCGGAAAGACGCGAGTGTTGTAGGTCACGACAACGATAACGACGATAACGATAACCATAATAATGACGAGCATGATAATTATAATTATGATTATGATCATGACGTTTGATGACGATAACGGCAGTAGCAACGATCGCGCGCGCGAATGTCGAGCAACCGCGAAGCCGAATAGACGCCGCTCTCGTCTCCTGCTTGACATTTATCTGCGATTCGGATGTTCTAAGGACATACGCATCTCCTTCTCGGCGCTTTCCCGTCTCGTTTTTTTTTTCTTTCGTCCCGCGGTCTCTCATCCAAACGCATCCCTCGCATGTTTAGGATATACAGCATCCCATGTTCCAATGATCCAATCTGTTTAATGCATATGGTCTACAAGCGGCTAAACACTGCGATAATAACAGTAAAACAAATGCGATAGTCCAATGGACTTTTCTTTCTTGTTCTCTTTTTCTACTTAGAGAGCGTAAGATCTTGTTATGTAAGCTCTCTGGTGTTTTCGATAACACCAACTTGGTATCTTGTATCTTGTGATCCAAACGTATTTATCGAATATTTTGAAAGAAAGTACAGTTGACTCGCAAAGGTCAGTACAATTTGTTTTTTGCCGTTGACCTGGACTGTATTAAAAACCTTCTTGTTTCTTTCAAATGTATATTTATTTTACTTCAAGTACAAGTATGTACTAATTGAACCATAAAAAACTAAAGTAAATGTGAAGACATACAGATGTATCGGTCACTGTGAGTTATAATCTAGCATATGGCAAACATAACATGTATTAAAATAATTATATTTGTTTCAGTACCTTGCTTTATCTGAAGTTTCTTCTACTATGGGCCATGGTGATCTTGGCAGACTTCATTTTGGAATTCCGTTTTGAATTTTTGTGGCCGTTCTGGCTACTCCTCCGAAGCGTTTACGATTCCTTTAAATATCAAGGCTTGGTAAGTATTAACGTGTGTTACGTAATTACCAAGATCCATGCAATCGGACATTATCAGATGTAAAATCTCATTGTTTCTTTTTCTTCTCTCTCTGTTTTAGGCCTTCTCTGTATTTTTTATTTGTATTGCACTTACGTCAGACATGATTTGCTTCTTTTTTATCCCTGTGCATTGGCTGTTTTTTGCTGCCAGCACTTATGTTTGGGTGCAATACGTCTGGCATACAGGTATGTAGAAAACAAATGTATTTGACATATTGACAAATGTGTAATGTACACTTATCAAAATGTGAGTCCTTCATACTACTGGTCCATAACATATTGTAGGAATTACTTTGTAGGAATTACTTTGTAGGAATTGGATTTCTAAGAATCCTAATTTTTAATGGATGTGAGCGATTAACCAAATGTTCATATTTTAAACAGATAAAGGAGTGTGTCTACCAACTGTGATGCTGTGGCTACTATTTCTATATATAGAAGCAGCAGTGCGGTTGCGTGATTTGCGTCATATGCCATTTCACCTAGACCTCTGTCGGCCGTTTGCAGCACATTGGTAATAGTTTTATCTTTTTTTTTGTAGATGAATATAAAAATCATCAAAAGATTACGCTTTGTGTATATTATTAGATGTATAATAGGATAACCTATTTATGTCCATTTGCTCCAAGTAAAGTTTTCTGCATTGCATATTTCTAGCATTGGCTATCCTGTAGTTACATTGGGCTTTGGTTTCAAGAGCTATGTAGGCTACAGAATGAGGCAGGTTAGTAATCTTCAACAATCTTACATTAATTTATTACAAATACATCTTTTGCAATTCAAAATAAGATATTTATCATGGCGATTATATTTATCTTGATTCATTCTTGCTCTCAACAGAGAAAACAAAAAGATGTAGCAAAGGAGAACGAGTTCTACCTACAATTACTGCAGCAAGCACTGCCTCTAGAGCAACAAGCTATGTCAATGCAGCAAATTCAACCGCAAATGCAGCCACAGACACAACAGGTCACTGCGTCGTTAGAGCAACACGTGAAAACTCAAACACACAAATTGAGTCCACAGTACAATCCAAGCCCTGAAAAAAGCAGAGGTAGTTTGTATTTATTATCAACTATTGTGAATACAGTATTGCTATAATTTCCATGATTACACGCGTTTTAATGTTTCTGTTTGTTTATTTTAGAGGGTAATAACAATTCCATAGAAACGAACGTACAAAATGGCGGAGTACACCCTAGTAGCCAGGTCACATCACAAACACAAACTGCTACTACCAAAAGTACTCATAGAAAATCCTTAGACAAGAGTGAAAAGCAGGAAGAGCAGCATAATAAACACAATGTATCAAATAATTCACCATCAGACAAAAGCGACAAGAAATTTATACACAGTAATGGAAGCACAGTATCGCACAGTGACATACAACTCATCGAGAGGGTGGGGTATGGTCAATTTCGTATTCAAAAGTGTATTTCTTTTTAATCACACTTTAATTTCATGTAAAATACTTATCGACACAATTTCTTAAAACAGATCTGTAAATGATTTTGACATAAATGAGGTAGAAAAGGACAAATCTATCAAAGGTTGCGGACATACTACAATAAAATCACAAACGAATGGTTCGGTAGCAGGAAAATGGAATAACGTAAAAGAAAGTCGAGATTCATCGTCGACTACTAATGTCCAACGGGAACGTAAGACTCGGCAGGTTAAAAATACTAGTGAAATCACAGCGGAGCAACAGAAACAGCAAGATGATTATTATCAAAGGTATATCATACGAGAGCAATTTTTCTTGTAAATATATTATAAGTTTCTATCGAAATTTTGTTAATCCAACATATTTTTGAAGGCACAGATTGAAACTATTACAAATCTGTGTGTGGTATTCGTACTTCACAAATCCTATACCGTCTTGTATCCATCTAGTAGACTTCCTGTCAGTTTCTTCAGCATGATTTGTCGTTGAAATAGGTTACTGGTGTGTCGCAGGCTCGAGGCAGACATAAAACGTTTGAAGTCAGATTTGCAATCAAGTCGACAAATGGAACAAGAATTACGATCGCAAATCAATGTCTTGCTCAATGGAGAGAGACAAGCTAAGGGTGATATTCAACAACTCCAACATGATAATGACCAATTGCAAAGCAAGTAAGTATAAATTTTTTAATAATTAATAACTTTATGAATTATTTAATAATTGTAAATTATTTTTATAATGTTACTATGAATTTATATAATATACATGTAAAAAGAATCTATCCAGTTAGTGTGCTTTATATTTTAAAATATATATAATATTTTCAATATTATTTTCAATTATAATTTGACATTTCTAAATTTAAATTTTAAATATACAAGCTTTACATATGTATAATATTAACATATTAATACAATTCTTTTGCTTTGTTTTTTCATTGTATATATTAAAAAGAAAACATTTTTTTGTTATCTGTTCCTGTTCATGTTAGTATTTGAACAGAAAAAATGTACATATAGATTTATATATCTACATAAATTATAAAGATTTTTTAAATAATTTGTTCAAATTTTAGTTAAATTAAAATACACAATATTTGTTATATTATTAATCATGCTTATATTCTCACGATTTGAATATATACTGGAATTATTAATCATTACATTCTTTTCTACATATATTAATGTTAAAACAAAAGTATCATATTTGATAGGACATATAAAAGTCATTAATTCTTTTAATTTTTTAAAATTAAACATGAAAATACGTAAAAGATACGTGAAATTTTATAGTTTATATTATAAAGAAAATCAGTTATAAATAATAATTATATTTGATACTTATAAATGGCTTCACTTCATACAACCTCTCAAAGGAGTCTACTTCTTTATCCCACAATTCCCTTATAAATTTTTCGTATAGATTTTTTTAATAACACAATATTTTATACCATTAAATATAAAAAATTTTTTTAATTTTAATTTGTATTAAAATGTAGTACACAGAGAAAAGGGAGACGGAACATTTGTATTTTGATTTTTTAATAAAATCAGACAAATTCTATGATGTAAATTTTAATATTATAGATTACATGGTCTAGTGACGGCGCGTCAATTGGATAAGCAAACGGTGTCATCGTTGGAAAAGCGAATTGCAGAAGAGCGAAAGCAACGTAACGCATGCGAAGCGTCCTTGCTCTCCGAACGAAGGGCACGACGAGCTGCCGAAGAAGCACGCTCCGCAATTCCACCACCACCACCTCCGCTTATCAGGCAAGAATGCACTGACGCGTGTAAAAACCGGAGATCTCAAATGGAACAGGACCTTAAAAATCTGCGCCGAGAACTCAAATTGAAGGAAGAAAGGTAAGAACATGAATTTGTTAGTATAAAAGTATAAAATTGTTTTAGATTATAAATTGCACAATGCAAAATAAACGGAGCGCAAATATTATATGTTGATTTAGATGTAACGCATTGGAAAACGATGTCGCGCGTTGTAAAGAGAACCACAGAGAGTGTGAAATTCTACTCCCTGCACTCAATGCGCTGCAAGATAAAAACGCACATTTGGAAAATAGCTTGAGTGCAGAAACGCGTATAAAACTTGATCTGTTTTCGGCACTCGGCGAAGTTAAGCGCCAATTAGAAATCCGAGAAAGTAAGTAATTGAAACAACGATACGTTCGCGTTGTTTCACATATTTTTTTTCGTATATTTCAATTTTCTTAATATTTGTAATATATGATTGAAAAACGTGTAAACATTTGTCAAAAATAATAGAAACACATATATTACACATGGTTGTTGCACTAGCAATATATCATATTATTTTCTGTTAAATCAGGCTTAATCAGATCTCAAGAGAAAGAAATCGAGATGTTGAAAACAAAAATAGCGCAAGATTTAGCTGTGATGCCACAAGATACATTTGGTCCAGCGCCAATCTGTGCGACGTCCAAGCTTCGTTTAAATAGTGAAGTGAGAGTAGTAGGAACAAAAATACGTTCGAATGAAAGTCCCTGTCCGGGGTGTACCGTGTCAAATTTGGATCCGAATGCGACAGCGTACACGCCTAAAAGTTCCCTTATAGCATCGACTGAAGCTTAAGGAACTGCAATTCTCTCATCAGAAACCCGATAGTAGGATACATCAACTACAAAGAATGTTTCAAGTTTCTTCGTGGAAATATCACTATTTGATTCACAAGTATGCAAAATACGGATTTATCGATCAGCTGCTGAATCTTTTCTGCATCATCTTCTTTAAGACAACACATATTTTTATTATATACGGATCCTCCCGATGTAAACAAAACCTGGAAGTCTTCCATGAGAAACTTCGCGAAACATGTTTTGTATCGTGTCTTGTCGTTTTGAAAAAGAAATGGAACCGTTGACATTACTTATGATCACGCGACGCGGCACTGGTTTTTAGAATGTCAAAGAAATCCAGTAACAATCTTAATTTGTAACATTTATGCTGTAGGTTGATCTTACGAATATATAACAATTCGTGAACAATCAGTGAATCGTAACTATCTCTTTTCACATGCATAAATATCGATAATAATGTCTAACAATTAAAAAAATCAGTGTATCTGACCGTTAGTTTATATGTAAGTAAAATATATTTTATATTCTACAAAAATATCTTTCTCTCTCGGAAAGAGTTTGTCTTATACATTTGTGAACGTTGCTGAATGATGTAGATTTTTTTTATATATATTTTTAACTATTTCAGAACACGATTTGACATTTCAAATCGATCTTTATGTAAGATAGGAGAAAAGTGCTAAGAGATGTTCTTTTTTTATTAGCAAAGTCACAATAAGAGATATGTTGGAAAAGTTAATATCCGTATTACGATCTTCCTGCAGTATGCCTAAACATACGATGACTTGTCAAAGATGCATTCTTATTCAAGTCGTATAACTGAAGCTAGTCCATCATACAAACTATTTAAATATCATTGGCGTGTCAAGCCATTTTATGTTATGCGATCATCATACAGAAATAGCCATTGACAACATAGAAAGAAATATGAGCATTATCCAAGAAGGATCAAAGTAAATGTCACGACGCCAAATTTGTTTTAGGTAACCCTAATGTCCGTACGATGATACTCTCACATGCACACATGCGCGTATTTGTGTTTTTAAATTTTCATACTTTTAGTTTAATATTTTTGTTTTATGTATTGGCTTTCAAAACGGCATAAAGTAATCATTACATTTTTCGTGTGTGGAAAAAATAATATAAATTTCAATGTGATAAGAACGATTGATTCGTAAAATGTTACTAACAAAAAGATGTAATGGCTAACTTGATTTAATTTAAAAAAAGCTTGGCATTCATATAATGATCATGCTGGTATGTGAGACTATGTAATGCCATATATTTGGTTAAAACAAAAAAAAGTTTAAACGCAAAATGATAATTTTATTAAAAGTACAAAGATAGAAAAAAGTTATTTTCGTATTAAAATCACTTTATTTAAATAAGAAGAATATTTATTTCATTATTTAGCATTGAAAAAATTGATAAAACTACATTGTGACTAGATATAAATGTGGATAAAGTTCTTTTTTCTTATGCGTGACGTCCATTAATATAATTTCAGAGTTAAAAGAAAGAAGTTTCGTTTTCTTTTTTTTAATTATTATTCTTAACGTATATATCTGTATACAATATGTATATATATATATATGCTATATGTCATATGTATGTTATATGAATATAATTATATAGACATATATATATATATACACATAAGTACATACATATACATATGCATATATGTATACAAAATATTACATGACTTGGACGAAAGCTTTATGGCACCATTGAAGGTGTGGTACATAATGTTTACACGAGAGATTTGTTTACTCTTATAAAAATATAATAATTGTACATGGCATATATCTGGCGCGCTCAGTTATTTTAAATATTCGCGAAAGTAGAGCGATCATATCAGTCTATCGATTCATAAATTACTCTATTTAAGTGGGTGCTATATGTTATAATTCTGATTTCTTTAGATTTATGTACCTTCACCTTGAAAAATTGATAAAAATTGTTACTTTTAATTTTAATTGGCTCGTGTGGAGTATTTGGAAGACTTGTTTAAGAGCATAAAATGGCATTATGAATGATTAATGAATAATGATCAAAAATTATGTGTGGTGTGTGGGTGTGTGTGTGCGTGTATGTGTGTGTGGAATTGATTGAATAATTAATAATTAATCGACATTAATAAAATTTGACGTTTTTATTTTATCCGCAAGAAAGCCAGTACTTGCTTCATTATGTTGCAAATATTGTGTAAACTTGTTAACTATTACGAGGTCATTCTTCCATAATTGTACATACAAAGCACTGTCATGACAATTTACTTATGGACACTAGTAGTGGATCATGACCAACTAGTCAAGCGAAGGAGGAAGTTCTACAAGCACGAATATTTAATAGGTATCCAACATTTCAAACTTTTCGCCTTTTATGGAAAGAAGAATACAGAACCCTCTCACTTTACTAAGATTTAGCATTTGGACTCATTGGATAATGTGAATTGTGATGAGTCCACAATTTCCCGGATGATCCACATAATAAAGGACGACGTTGTAAAGGCTTTCCTGCACAATGTGTATATTATTAAATTTTGAATTTGTCTTCAAAAGAGCAGTGCGAGTTTGTTACTTATAAGAAAGTTACGTAGAAGTTTTCTAATTTGCATATGTTAGTAACGTGTATATCGTGTACTTTAAGTGCATGAAATAACTCCGATGGTTGCTAGTTTATTGGGGAAAGAAATGATAAAATATGTGCATTTCTATTTCCGAATTGTTTGTTGTCCCAGTGTCGAAGATATTACTTATACTTAACTTTCATCTTGCGAATAAAATCGTTGATAAGTTTCGATTTAGATTTGCGTTTGCTTACACTTTGCACACAAATAACGTAGCGAAGACGATATAGACATGTAAATAAATATTTACCGGAAAGGAATTTTGATACCGCTTCGTAAACGCATCGGTGTAATTGTTGGGGCACTTGCGTGGCATAGTTATTTTGCTATAAAAAAAGTCAATTTACGTTACGGTGATTAAGATATCTGCCAATTTAATTTGGACAACGAGGTTTGACCAACAGGCTTGTCAGCAAAGAAAAAAAAAATTAAGTTAAAAAACTATTGATTTGTAAAAAGAAATATCGATTAGTATTGTGAATACGTGTACCTGACCAAGGGCTTTCTTGAAAAATATCGCATACGAAAATACTATGGTAAGTACATGTTACGTCTATTATAGATTTTTGTATGCGATATAGTTTTAAAACATGGGCCCAGGACGTGTGCTGTCGTGGTTCTTTTTCCTTTTCTTTTTTTTCCATTTTTTGGCTAATTTACTTATCTTGGATTTAATTCCACCAGAGAGAAGGCTGGCTTGATAAGCAATTAATATTATGCGAGATAATATCGTATACATTGAGTTATTGTGATATACATACACACACACACACACACACACAAAGAAAAACAGACGCGCGCAATACATACATACACTGACACACATTTACATAATCATCATATGTAAATATGCATTCGCTTTACATATTTATTTGTGTATACTCGTACATCGCATGCACATCGAAACACATGCGGTCGCGTATACACATACATATATGTGTATAACTATTTTAGTTACTACATAACGTTCTCTTATCATAATAAATTAATAATGAGATAATTAATCGATCGCTAATAGGTAAGTTTCCTATTTCCAAATGCATTGTTTCACTTCGCGCGACAAGAGGAAGACGTGCGTAACAAAGTACTTAATTTTTATGTTCGATTTTGTTCGGCATTCTTCTTGGACGTGTGTGTGAGAGCGAGAACGAAAGAGAGAAAGATTAGAGACATGCACAAAAGAAGATTCAGGTACTTTTTGTAATACCTGCTTCCTGAATAATTTGTAAGTTCTCTGATATTACATAACTAATTTATTAAGTTGGCGAATTGACAATAAAAAGCTTTTTCGTTTTATAACGAGGTTTTCGACGTCTCGAATCTGACCTCAATTATGATGGGAAAAGTATCTCGCGGACGTCTTTTTTTTCTTTTTTTTTTACATATTATTAACGTCTTGTGCGCTTCCACAAACACATGCGTACTTATACTTATTGTCATTGCGTAGCAATTAAGTTTATATCGTCGCGAGCGACGAGTATAGCATATTAAATGCAGTACAGCAACACCGCTATTGATCTCATATATTGCGCGACCGTACACGCAAATGCCCTTATTAACGATTTATTACAAAACCGACATGCGCTGGATATCTCGTAGAGTGAAATTTATAAAACATACTGTAATCATCTTTTTCTGGAGATAAAACAAATCAAGCAAGTGACATTACGCCTAACTGGAGAGAACGCACGTGCGTTTTAATCTCTGCTGCATATATGATATATATATATATATATCACATAAGGCAGTGAGTTTAAAAAGAAAAAGAAAAATAAGAATTTGGCTAAGAGAACTTTTACGATTAATCGTAAAATTCACCAAATATGAACCAGATATGTACGACACTATCATACATGCGTTTCTACCGTTAATTCGTAACCAAGCTTTGAGAAATCCTGTTTCGAACGATGGCACTTCTGGCCAATACCACAATAATCTTATATTTATAATGATCCTTCTCTTCTGCATATTTTCTGTCTATCGGTCATACAGAATATATTTGACTTTTGTTTTCATATTAAAATACATGCTTTATAAATTTTCCTTTCATCCTTTCGAGATCATTATCTCTAATTTCCTATTAAAGATATAATTATAACAACACATTGAGATTCCTCTTCTTGCAATATTCTAATATTGTGAGTTTCATAGAAGAGAGAGATACGATTCATACCTTTTTCTACCTTTTTCTCTCTCATTTCTGTTGTTCCAAAAAAAAGGAAGATTCTGAAGCCATATAAAACAAATAAAATTGTTTGTTGGGAAAGAAATACGCGTACGTCTAAGAATTATTTTCGAATATACAAATATTCATTATATTATATTCAAATGATATATAATATACAAGATTTCTAAAACATAAGGAAACAGAGAGATTATCGATGATACTAATAATGGATGATTTTATTGTGTATTATGCTATAAATAATCTCCACAGCAATATTTATTAAAATAAACATTGTAAAAACTGATATATATTGCGTATAGTTTATACATCAATGATTACAATGATATTAAAACCAATTTTTCTAGTGCACTGTGATACCATTATTGACGTTGTATTTTTATTTGCTCTACGATTTTATTCGTTGCACGTTTATAGGTATATTTATAGCTTTCTTTTTCTCGGTGATTAAAAACAAGGAGAGGAATTTCCATGATTTATGTGAATCGTTTATATTGATGCTGACACTGGCAACACAATCTGATATTTCTGACTTAGTTTGAATAAACGTTATTTTCGTTTAATAAAAATGAACGAGTTCTTGTAGATCCGTTTGTAGAAACAACAGTTAAAATTGTAGAAATCGGTCTTATGGGTAACATCGATTCGATCGATGGTCTCTTTTTATAAACGGAATAAAATGCATTCAATGTAAGCAACTACAGAGCAATATAAAAAGCAAGCGTTAGCTGGCAATATCATACAGAACGCAGCAATATAAAATTTGATTTTATGTTACAATTAAAGCACAATTTATACCTACAGGTTCCTATTAGTCTTGAGAACGATAGTTTTTACTTTGCTTAAATACGAAAGTGAATGATTATCGCAAATCTAAAGAAATTTATTACGCAACGCGATTGTGACCGAATTTTTAATAAACCAAAAAGGCATACACATATATATGTACATACGTATGTATATGTATAAGTTTCTTTTCTCATGTTCCAGAAATATTTTACTGCTCTCTACTAAATGTGTCAATGCATCGTATACAAACGAATAAAAAGGTTTAAAAGTGATAAGAGAAATTACAAGTAATGAAATATATTTATTGTTTTCGCCCTTACCAATCTATATTACATTATATCTTATACAATCTACTTTTATGTAAATTTTTCTCGTGTTAATATAATAAAGGATTATCTACAATGGGAGCAATATGGTGAGGTAAGCCATGACAAATCAATTAATCACAGTCAAATGTGAAGTCAATTTCTTACAGCTTATAGTTTACTATATAATATTACTCCTATTGTAGATGAACACAACACTTTTGATTTTGTAATTATATATTACGTCTTATCACGTCAATTTTTAATCATCTCTGATTTTCGAAGTTTCTGTTTCTTCATTGCAGCTATATTGCAATAGAAATGAGAAATTATGTAATTTTTTTGTTGAATAGTGCAAAGAAAAAATTCATATGCTTTCTTGTTTTTATTTAAAAATTCAATAAATAGTTATAATAAAAATATATAAAAATTTAAAATTTTATGATATATTGAATGTCAGATAAATCCTTTTTTAAAATAAATGCTATCATATTTTTTTTATTCATTTATGTAAAATATATGTATATGTTCCTCTCTTTAAAAAATGGTTGTGTAAAAAATAAGTATTCTTCAGTCTTCCATCTTCTTTAACTATTTTCAACTATAAGTAATTTAAGGTATGATTCTAATATACTTTATTCATACGAAGATGCTATTTCTACAGAAAATGTTTCTGATTAATAACACTGCATGTTTTGTGATTGTCTTTTCTTATTTTCAAATAGTAAATAGAATACATATCAATTTCTTATTGTATACAAACGTAAAGTATAACTTACGTTTTTTCAAAGAAAAGCAGTCTTATTTATACTATATTTACAGTCTCTTGTGTTTCACATGTTGAGATTTGTAAAGCTCCATGAGATTTAAACTTTTCGTAAAGTGGACTTCCTTTAAACACGACATACGAAAGTACTGCTTTCGTGTAATAGTCCGACATCAGTTCCAAATTCCGTATAACTGTTGATAAAAGATGCGCTTTTTCCACATATATTCCTAGATGAAAGAATAATATACTGCAGTTAAAATATCCATTTTAAAATTACTCATAAAATAATATATACATATATAATATTTATATACATATGTAAACGTATATATATTTGTATATTTATACAGGGTGATTCAGACCACCCGGAGATGCCGGTACATTAAATAATTTAATTAATATTGATTTTATTCATTAAATTGTTTATTATTTAAAATGTTTGAAAAATACATACTTTTTTATTGATATAAATGATGTTTGCTGATAATCGAATTTGCAATTGCGACATTACTTTTCGTCAATTAAATTAGACTCAATTTAAACATACAGCAGTAAATGTTAATAAAGATTTCAAAATGTTTGCAATACTCATTCGGCATCGTGTGGTTTAGCGGTATCCATCAAAGCGCTCGACGCTTGGTTGCGCTGCACCTGACGGTGCGAACTTCACGTCCTGTGATTGGAAGATTTCAAAGGCTCACTATTTAAAAACTGTTGACCCCACAACATTTTGCTATTAACCTTATCGACTCAGTTTTTCATGAGGAATACGTACGTACCGGCATCTCCGGGTGGTCTGAATCACCCTGTATATATTTTTATCTATTATTTTTAAAGTTTCTTTTTATAATAATTTACCTGGTGCCTCAAACATAAGATAGCAGAAATGCACATGTAGATAATAGTATGATGGCTGATAATGGAAATATATTCTGAGCTGAGATGCAGGTATGTTAAATTTTTTACTAATCGCTGCCGTTCCAGCATCTTGTATATTTTTTAATAAAGGAAGATGAGACCCATTCAACTCTCGCAATGACCTTATTTTTTTAAATGGTAGTGCCAATAATTTCAATGTATCCATCTGTTTATCCCATTTAAAATCTGTTACTAATACAAAACCATTATCCTTGTCAGGGTCCTCGTAAATAATACTTTCTTGTTCAGCTTTGTGCTCCAAAATATTAGTAATCCACTGGAAAGAGAAATAATATAGAAATAAAATGTGCTTTCTATGTGTGAATAATCTTCAAAATTATGTCAAATATGAATCAATGTTACATTTCAAATAAATTATACCTCCAAACTCAGACTCATTGACTCAATATAAGGGAGAGTGACCTGCTGATAAAGTTCATAGGTTTCATCTATCACATACAACTCCTGTCTCTTATATTTATCGATGTGTGTCTGAGAAGCAGGGTATATCACAGTCACGTGTAGACCTTGAAAAATAAAATAAATTATTTTATAAAATAGCAACTAATACATTAAAATACATGTAAAATCGACATAAGCAGATTGGTATACCATTATTTTCCTTGGTTGGAAAACAATTGTAATTTCTGTAGACGTCATTGGTAAAGATCTTTCGGAAGGTCGTCTTTCCATCAAAGAAATCTTTCTCCAAGACCACCTTGTCCTGAGGAAAACTCTTTTGCTCGAGCAGAACAACCGCCTGGCCCTCACGATTCTCAAATGTCCCTTCCATGCATATCAACTTTCGAGCACAGTTATTTTGTAGCACCCTAGTTACTTTGAAATCTGATAGATTCAGCTCTGTCTCACTCGTATCATTCTCGCCCAAATTCTTCTCAACCACGTTGGTGCTTCCGTCGTCCAACTTAACTTTCTTCACTGGTGGACAATTTCCGTCGTTTGTGCTTGCACATTTCTCTGCCATGTTTGTTACTTTAATATAAAAAAATCTAAAAATAGAATAAAGTACTGTATGAGATGCAAGACATTGAGAGAGAGATATAAACATTAGATCTTTTTGCAGTGAAAAATATAGAAAGATTAAGGTACATAAGGAGTTTTTTTTTTCACGCTATTGTTGGCAAAAAGCACTTTTTACCAGTGATCAAAAGAAAAAATCCGTTCCTTTCTTTTAGCTTTCTCTTACAAATCCTTCTTTTGATACAGTGGTTTAATAAAAACTTGTCATTGTTCAATTTCTGTTACAATTTTCTCAATCGTGAATGAGATCAGATAGACCGGTAGATAAAAACGGCAGGTACTGCGATGATTCTACTCGACAAGACTTCGCACTGCTTCGCACATGCTTTTCTTAATAAAATTTCCACAAATGAATCGATGTAAACATTGGTAAATATCATGATGTAATAAGAAAGGTGTATTATTGCGCATAGCAATGGCGGCACGACTAGCGGACCCAATGAAATTTAGGTCCAAATACACCCGCGCAATTTGAATACGAAATAATCACATAAGATCATATGTACTTAAAAAATTTGAAAAAATAATGTAAAACTACTTGGAATAATATAAACGTGCAAAAATTCTTTTGTAATGAAACTAAAATATATTTTGCAACTAAAATATTTCGAGCATTTGTAATATAATTGAAATTTGACCAATGAGGGAAAAGGAATTTTAACTCCTATTTTGATTGGTCAAATTTCAATCTTTCAATCTTCAATTTCAATTTTTAATGCCTAGTCTGATTTTGGCCTTATGCGTGGTCTACAATGGGCAGTAGCAGTAGTGGATTAAGAAGTTGGCGTAGAAATCAACCAATCATAATCGAATGTGAGGAGAATAATCAACCATGATTGATCGATTTCTACGCCTACTTCTTAATCCACTACTGCTACTGCCCATTGTAGACCACGCATAACGGAGTGAGCTCTAAAGTATTTCATTACTTTAGATCTACAATAGATATTTTAAGCCTTAAGCCGTAAAAAATTGACCAATTACTTAAGGCTTATATAATGCATTAAATAGTGCAAACAACGTGATCGACAGTCACGTGTGTCAGCTGTGTAAACAGCTGCGGCCACAATATGGCTGCTTCACTTAGGAGAGGATAATCAGAATACATATCAGACTGCCAATCAGAAACTCGGACGTCAATGTCGCTTCTCTTTATATGTATAATATATAGGACTCTAACCGTGAGTTGTGGAACTGGGCCCAACTGGGCCTAAATTGGAGGAACGAGAAATAATAATGGATGCTTTCCAGCAAGGACATAGTCAGACACTGTGTAAAGCCTTGTGTCCACGATGCTAGAAATTGGTCCGAGATCTCGGAGAGAGAAAGAA